AAGTAATTAAAAAAAAAAAAACTGTCCCGGACAAATAGAGCACTTTGCTGATAAGCAGTGGACCAAAATACCTGTCAACAGGTGCAGAAGTCTGACTGAGAGTTACAGAAAGCACTTGATGGCAGTGATTGGCTCAAAGGGTTGTTCAACTAAATGCTAGTTTAAAGGTCCCATCATGCTTGTTTGCTTTTTTTTTTTTTTTTTTTTAATATTTCTGTTGAAACACAATTCAAAAGCAATGTGATAATTTCCATTATTTTTAAATTTATGACTACTTTTGTCAATTTCAACTTATTTCCGTGACATCTGTTTTTTTCCCTTCTTTAATGGGAGGGTGTGGATACATCTGAGGACGACTGTAAGTGCAGCAATGTGCCAACAAAGGCCGAGAAGACAAAGGCATGCAGATTTCAAAGATAAAAAGAGGGTTTTACCGATGTTTTATGAAGATATAAATTCATTTAACATGTTTTTGAACCTCAAGGATGCAGCGGATGTAAACGAAAACTTTGTTTAGAGGGAATCTCTGCGGGGTCTCTTCTGGATTTGAGTAAAAAATACTTGAATTGTTTATGCTCCACAGGACTATGTGGGAGGGGTTTTATCATCACGTTTTGATTAAAATATTGCAGTTTCTGAAAATATAACAAAACTCAGAGCGGAGTGGAGCACAGACACATATGTGAAAGACCAAAGGAGAAAATGGAACAAAGGAAACTGTTGTGAAATAACTAAAACAGTTTGCACCTTGGCAAAAGATGATTCGTTCATGTCCGACGTTTTCGCTGATGTAATAATTGAGCATTCATATTTTTAAATAAGGACGCCTGATGCTGGATCTAATGTGCGTTGGATGTGTTTCAACTGACAATTATGATGCACACATTTTCTCCTCCTAATTGCAGAGAACATTAGGTCTCCCCTGTAGGCGAATGTACACATTATTATGGCTCCTCGTATCATTAGGCTCCCTGGCAGGTGCAGGCATGCAATTAAATGGCTTTCAAATGTACAGATTCACAACATAAAAAAAGAGAACTCCCTAGATCTACATGTTAAGCACATCTATTTCATGCAACAGAACTGTCAGTGCTCATTTCCATCGTGCACCTCTACATTTAAACGGGGCAAAGAAGACGAGTTTAGACGAACACCCTCAGCGTTGCATGCTATGCAGAATACAATACATAATAGTCATTACAATGTGGATAATGATACATGCTTCTGGACAGTGTCTCTGTGAACTCCTTGACACATGCAAGAACTGGCATGAATGATTGTGGGTCCGAAGGAGAAAAAGCTCTTGAGGGAGAAATTTAGACTTTGTGTTGGAAGACGGTTTCAGATCATCTCATTATCTGATAAACCCACGTATGAGGTAAACTAACGCCTAAACCAGCATCAATTCTGAGCAGCGAAAGTGAAACAGCTGGGCTCACCATCAATGAGGCGCCCTTCAGCAAAGCCCTTAACACTCGCATAAAGCTCCAGTGTTACTGCTCAGCTGCAAATAGATCAGACTACTGGGCAGTTTCCAGATGCTAATGTGCTGAATTAAAGGTTAGAAACGCTCTAAATGGAGCTATTACCATGTATGCCATGTATCTGGATAATGAAAGCCTCTTAAAGGCGGGGTAGGCCGCTCTTGAGAAAGTTTGCTGATATCTGAATTAGACAGCCAAACAAACACACCCTTCCTTTCTTCGCTCCTTCTGAAGTCTCGCCCTGCAAATTCCTGGATGCACAACACCACGGTAGCAACAATAACAATTGGGCTAAATGACTGATATGGCGTGAAAGTGGATGTCTCTTTCTCATAGCTGACGCAAAACAAACACTCTAATAGTCAGGAAAATGTCCAAGTCAGTGAATCCAGTGGAGTACAGTTAAATCCATCGTTAAGAAATGGCAGCAAATGCGTGAATCTACCGAGAGCTGATCGTCTCACTGAGTGACTGCAAGAACCAGACAAGTGAGAGAGGCCACCAGGACACCTATGACCTCTTGGTAGCTGGTATTCTATGGGATGTGTTTGTTGTCCACCAAACATAACATCACATCTGATCTCCAAAAAGCCCAAGTTTGGTTTGATCAGAGCAAAGAATCTTCTTTCAGTTGACTTCAGAGTCTCTCACATAGCTCATGTTGAACTATCACCAAGATTTAACATAAACTTTGTTCAACAGTGGCTTTCTCTTTGCTACTTTCCCAAAAATCTCTGACTGTTTGAAGGACGGCCAACAGTTGTTATCTGAGGTGTGTCAGAAAAGTTCTAGGGCTGGTGTCACAAAAGATAGATTTCAAACCCAAACAACAAGTTTTCCCCTTTGAAGTAATCCCCCTGGAGTCTAACCCACTTCCCCAGCCTTCTCTGCCACGCCGCCATGCACTCCTGGAAGGATTCTTCTGGGATCCTCCATCTTGATGTCGTCTACGTCTTCAAAACAAGTCCCCTTGATGACCCCCTTGAGCTTTGGGAAGAGGAAACAAGAGCCAGGTGGGGTGAGAAGGGAGGCTGCTCCAGCATGGCAATGTTCTCCTCAGCCAGGACCTGTTGGATGCTCAGGGCGTTGTGAGCAGGTTGTCATGGTGAAGCAGCCACAACTTGTCCTGCCACAACTCTCACCTCTTCTCTGAACGAAGCAAACGCTACAGGATCTCTTTGTAGACGCGCTGGTTGATCGTTTGAAGGTGAAAACTCATAGTTGGGTTTGAAATCTATCTTTTGTGACACCAGTCCTGGAACTTTTCTGACACACCTCAGATGTACAGTCTCTCCCATCTCAGCCGCTGAAGCTTGTAAGTCCTTTGGAGGAGTCATAGGTGTCTCGGTGGCCTCATGAGTCTCTTTTCTTAGAAGCATAATTTAATGTTAAAAAGCCTAAAATGGGAAAACTTCTGAGGGAGGTGAAAGTTTTTAAGAAGCATAGTGAAAGGTCATCGAAATGACATGAATAGCATGCAAGCACGTCATTCCAATGCAACAAAGTAAAAACTAGCAAGGTAGCCAGCTGTAGACGCCATCTTGTCCCTGTTGGAGCTGAACTCAGCGCCTGTAGCAACCTGCTGCTGTGATAAGGAACCCTGCAGAGAGTGAGAGTCTGGAATAGAGGCAAAGAAATAAAGCCCGGTGGTGCTGAAACTGGCTTCTTACTCAACATTTCCCCTCGGAAACAGTGAGAAGCAGTTGTCGTTGTCTCTCACACCTGCTCTACAAGCTGAGGCCTCTGCAGCTGCACAAAAAAGTCATCTGGATCCACCCTGTACCCTGGAAGATTTGTGGGAATTTAAAGGGTTGTCCTGTGCATGTAGTGGCTGGAACACTGTGATGTGGATAACCCTAACCCTAACCCACTGTTGTTTCCTGTTTACAGAGCCAGAGCTGTGCACAAACACCCAGTTTTCTTTCGGGTGAATGCAGATCGAACAGCAAGCAATGAGAAGATATTTGCTGAATTTGACAAAAAGTGCACCGAATACCCCACCTCTACCTACAGCTGGTCGGAGGTACACCTGCAGCTGCTTTAGGTTTTAGTTTTTTCTTTTCATTATCTTAGACAGGAGCTCATTCACAGACAAAAAAAAAACAAATCTGAGGAAACAACCATATGTGAAGAAAGTAGAGTTAGTCTAAGGTAAAAGCCTTGGGATTATTTGCAGCCATCTGCCTCCTAGTGTCAGAAAACGGGACACTGTAATTGATCTGCGATTATAACACAGGTGGTCTTGATTTCATTTCCGCCTACATTTATCTTCCGCTCTCTGTCACGTCAAGTAAAAGTGTTTTTCCTTTTGGTTAAAGGCCTTTGGGGCCTTATTTTTGTTTCCTTTCTCTTCTCAGTTCCATCAAAATGAATCAAGATGTGTTTTATAACCAGCGAAGCGTACAATTTGACGCTTGTGGACTTCTGGCACTCGGTTTTTGAAGATATATAGCACCTCGTAATTAATGTCTGCTTGTACAAGTCGGGAACAAAGTCTTCCTATGCAGTCCAAATCCTTCGCTTTCAAGTCAGTAGCTCTCATAAAACTTTGTGATTTGAGAATCTGTAAAACCTTTGTGAGCATTTTGCTGTGGTTTCGCAGCAGTCGTCCTGCGGTCGCTTGTGTACATGCTAGAAAGAATTTCCTGGTTTGCTCGACTGAGCAGAATGAAAACCTCGGATTAAGTTTCCCAACCTATGCATTAAACATCTGGAGTTACCAGCAGGGCAGTGATTTGACTGGGCTGCAGCAAATGACTTCGATTTATCAGCAGGAGAACTCGGGGTCAGCACGCCAGACGCAGAAACGCAGACCTCAAAGTGTCACCGCAGCCTCCTTCAGCTTTTGATTCAGAAGAGACTGATGATGACTTTATAGGAGATTACTGTGAGACGCATGTGATGAGTGCTTCACGTTTTCAGCTAAACTCCGATGCAGACTTGGCTGAGGCTCGGCTGAGGTGGAGGAGGGGGGGCTGGAGGGTGACGGCTTCCCAGAAACTAAAAAGTGAAAATGTTGCAGGGCTATCAAAGAGTCATGTTTAGGTTTCTGAGATCCTCCTATGAAAAAGTGGAGACTTCTGGCACAGGCTGCTGCAATTAGGTTGGGAGTTCATCCAACAGTCAAGGGAAAAAGCTATTTATCATGAAGATTTTGTTGATCTGGCAGAAAAAAGAAAAAAAATAAAGACAGTAAACAGAAATTTCAAGGAAATGGGTCAAATTATTCATATTCTGTCATGAGCTGGTTTTCACAAGAAATTCGCACCTATTACTGTGTCTGAGCTACACGCTGTCATGGCAAAAGTTTGGATGAAGAAAAGAAGTTTCACTCCTTGTTAACCACCATTTAAAGGGCCAGGCTGAGCAGTTATCAAACACACTTGGCTGGGCATGATCACACGTCCAGTGGTTATATGAGCAGCAGCAGCAGCAAACTTGTATAACGGAATCAGAGACTCCAAATGCTGAACTCCTCCTCCTCCTCCTCCTTCTCCTCCTCATCATCATCATCATCATCATCACCATCTCACAGGGCGCATCTGCAGGCTGCAGGAGCAGAACGATAATAAATCAAATAGAGATGAAGGATAGTTAAGTTTAAGTTGACTGGAAGTCCCGGATAGTTTTTTTTTTAATCACCGCTTTGTCACTTTCTGTCTCCGTTAGTTGGGTTCATGATGGGATTACGCGTAAATGGCACCTCGCGTTACGCATTGGCGTGCGTCTATTTATTTGTTTTTATCCTGCAAGCTGCCCAATGTCAGAGGACTCCGGGGACGCAACAAGGAAACGACCAGAGATCGGCTCTCCGGCAGACGTTACAGTGGTCGCACAATGGCAAGATTTTTAGCATTTTGAGCCACGGTTCGGAGTACCAGCCGCCGAGACGGAGAGGCGCACAGACGGAGCAAGTGCAGTCGCGTCCTGTCACCATCATCCGTGATGCGGACGCGAAGCATCAGGACACCCAGAGCCAGCCGGTGGTCCAGCAGCAGCAGCAGCAGCAGCAGCCGGTGACCGGCCCCCGCAGCCTCCCGCCGCCGCTCCAAAGGCTCGTCAGAGGACACGAGCACCGGCAGCATCACCATGAGCGTCCCGGTGAGCGCGCCGGGACGCAGAGGAGCCGCAGGGTCAACGAGACCCAGGAGAAGGTCACCGTCAGTCCGCCTCTGCCCAGGAGAGAAGACATGATGGTCGGTGACGATCCGTACGACCCCTACAAGTCCATCGACAGCGATAATCCGTATTACAACTACTATGACGTTTACGAGAGACCGAGGCCGAGATCGAGACCCGGATATGGCACCAGCTACCATCAGTACGGTGAGAGTGGAGAAAGTGTTCTCAGGCAGCATTTAAGTTAGTTATTGGAGGAATTATAAGGAAATAATTATGGAAAAATGCGTAATATCAACCGAGTAATCACTTGAGTGATCACTTTGATCGATTATTGTCTCCTTATGTATGAGTCTGTTTGTGATCTGCTGGAGTTTCTATTTTATATTTTAACAAAAACTTATTTAGTGATTCACTGATCAGTCAAGTCATCTGTTTAAATGTGTGTCATGATTTAGCCTCATTCATTGTCCTGTTGATCGTCACTGTTCTTACACTGTTAAAAAAAAAAAGTTACATTTTTAAAAATAATTTACAATAATTGTACCTTTTTCCTATTTTGTTTAATTACATCTTAACTGTTAAAATAATAATAATAATAATAAAAATCCAACAAATTTCCACATAAGACAATATATATATATTTACAAACGATAATTTGTACTTGGACAATCTTCGGTTGTTAATTGACACTAGTTTTTTTTTTTACTGTTGATCTGCAAAAATATCATTATTTTACAGATATTTCTCATTATTTGAAAGACAAATATGTAAATTAAAGGTTGAAAATGTGGTAAATAACTTTTTACCTGCTACTTTAAAATTACAGCCAGTATCAATCACAATCACAGAAAAAACATTAATTTACATGTTTACTGTAAAAAAAAAAAATGTACATGATGTCAACATCAAAACTGTTTTTTGTCAGTGTCCAAATTTTTTGAATTTTTTTGTCATTATTTGAAAGAATGTTTATTAGGTATTGAAAAATGGTTTTAAAAATGGAAGCGATATGTCACAGAATTGGTTTGTTTTGTTAAATTACAGATAATATCTTGTAAAACCACTAAAAATGATCATATTTACTTGTTGAAGATCAAAAATAGCCAAAACTGTGCATATTGTCTTCATCAAAAACTTACTACAAATATAATTTTTTCACATTTTTTTTACAGTGCACACCTGTAACATTACACTGTTTTACAGCATTCAAGTCTGCTAAAAAATATATATAATTTTGCAGATATTTGTCATTATTTTTACTGTTTTTGTTTGTACAGTTTTTGCTGCCAGATTTTTGCATCCAATTTTTATTTTCATACAGATTTTGTTTTACAGTGTATGTTGTGTGTTGTAGGTCTCCCTGATCTGGTTCCAGACCCGTACTACATCCAAGCCTCCGCCTACGCCCAGAGAGTCCCGATGTACAACCTGAGATGTGCAGCCGAGGAGAACTGTTTGTCAAGGTAGGCTGCTGTCAGAACTGATCCACAGGGAGAGAGGAAGAGGGGGGAAAAAGAAGAAGAAAAAAAACTGGGTTTGCAGCCATGTCTGAGTGTGATTCACAGAGCTCTGAGCCATAACAACCACCTAAAGTGTTTGTGGGTGAGGGCTGCCCAGTGGAAGCCTGAGATGAGGTAAAATTAACCGAATCCTGCCGCTGATGGTGCAGAGGGGTGGAGCGGTGGATTTCTGTAAAAGTTTAATCATAGTTTGCCCCGAGAGAGAAAGCCCGAATGGTAAACACATTATCGAAAACTAACCCAAACAACCACGTGCCTCCTAAAAGACTTTTCCACCCACCATTTACACATCGGCTGCTTTCGCTCCGAGAGACTCCGCCGCGCTCCAGAGGAGGGGATGCAGCAGGAAAAACAATCTCGGTGACGCCGCCGCCGTCCACGTACGTGACCGTGTGTGTTTTTTGTGCCTGCAGCTCGGCCTACAGGGCGAGTGTGAGAGACTACGACACGCGGATGCTGCTGAGGTTTCCCCAGAGAGTCAAGAACCAGGGGACGGCCGACTTCCTCCCCAGCAGGCCACGCTACTCCTGGGAGTGGCACAGCTGTCACCAGTGAGTATAATGCCATGCCAGAGCTGTCCACCTCACCATCACACCCGGAGGAGACTGTCTGTGGCCTTAAAACTCTGGAGTTAGAGTTGATTTTAGCTCATTTGTGTTGTGCACTCCCTCTCGTCTCATCTTTAAAACTGTCCTTACCTGAAATGAAAGGTATCTGATACAAACCTAAAAGTCTGACTGAGCATGTCGTCACTTTAACAAATTATAAAGCCCAGAATACAAGTAGAAGGACAATAAATCTGCAGTGATGCTTCCTTGGGATATTAGTGTCAAAGTGCAAGGAGGCATATTGCTTTTCTATTTATATCCACAAATATTGCAGAAAAATTATACGCCATATATTTAGTTCCTTTTAACGCCCCTTTGGAAACTCTCTTTGTGTCTGTGGCAACGTCGACCACAACAGAACAGAAAATTACAGGCAGACATGTGACTCCAGTCTAAAGCGCTCCACGGTGGCATTAACAACAATGAAGACAGGGAAATGCAACTTGTGAAGTGGTTTTAAACTGACTTTTCGGAGCTTTTTAATCAGTTAAACCTGCGTCAAAATATTAGCATTTCACATTTCTAAGAAGTCTTTCAAAAAGCAGTTTCTTGATAAACACACTTTTAAAGCATCTCAGGGTGTTTCTACATGAAATAGATCCACGATGTGAGCGAAATGACGTCTGTTTGAAGCATATTGAAGAGCTGAATTAGACATCGGTTTGCAAATATAAACCAGTTCTGGAGAATTCTGCATGTGAGCATTCAAATCCTGCAGCCTTTACTATGAACTGCAGGCAGAAATGTTTGCAGTTTAGTTCTAGTACGTGCAAACATTACAAATGTCCAACAAATTTCTAAGAGCTACTTTTACACTCGTTTCTTTGCCCTCTGCAGCCTGTACTTGTGGTCTGGCACCCCCTGTTGAACCACAGCCGTGTTACTTTTGGCTGTTTTCTACTTTTTTTTCTTTTTTTTTTTGCAAAGATTTCGATATCAGGACAGACATCTTGAATTTATTTGTATCTTTTGGCTTTTGAAGGTGTAATTATCTCTTGTCTGATTTTTTACAATCTCAGGCAGGAAACCCCTCTTTAGCCTTTCAGAAAGTGAAGTGGCTGAACTTCACAAGGCGTTCATATTTAGCTAATTCACAGCCGCACAGCCAGACACAGTAAAGTTGTGTGATGAGAATAATGAGGGCCAGAATGAAACCTGCTGGTATTTTTGTCCCCTTTGTTGAGCTCATGGAAAAGTGCCCAGCTCGTCTCTTGACTCCAGAGAAACTACCTCAGTCCATAGCTATGTTGTGAAACAAGCGGTCCGCTGGGCTTCAGCCCAACATGGAGCGCATCTGGCAGAGATCCAGTAAACTGTTGATGTGGCCTGTATAGATTTTTTGTCAGTGTTTTGAAAGCCAACTGATGTTAGAATCCAGACTGTTTTTTTTCTCATCAGGCAAGGCTTTCTGTCAGACCCTAGAGTTAAACCAGATTCAGATCCACCTGGATTTGAAACGTCCCACACTGATATGGAGTTCCGTCTGCTTTGTCTCCTCTGTGCTGTCGGTCCACAGACACTACCACAGCATGGACGAGTTCAGCCACTACGACCTGCTGGATGCCACCACTCAGCGGTCGATGGCGGAAGGTCACAAGGCCAGCTTCTGCTTGGAGGACACTTCCTGTGACTACGGATACTACAGAAGATTCGCCTGCACGTCACA